ACTAGCATCTTCAGAAACATGTTATTTACTGTTTATAAACTGTTTATAAACTATATAGAACCCTTTACAGTTTATTTACACATTTCGAGTAAATGTAAAGTAAATGGTTGGAGCCTTAACGTTTTCGCGAGCGAATCGAGCAAAAAAGACAGTCAAATCGTGCCGTAGATGCTGCAATGACCACCGCAGGGGTCGAACCTGCAATCTCCTGATTACAACAGACAGTCGTAGTCAGACGCGATGCCATTTCGCCAGGCGGCCATGCGTTTTCTACCTAGGAGTATGAAAATGTTTCTTGAAGCATCGCTGCAACGCCTGCGCGCAGAGCTCAAAGTCCTATAGACGAGTTTCCCATAATTTAGATATAGTTCTTGGTGAATTTTGAGGGGTGTGAACATCGGTCTGAGGCGAAATACGTACAACCGAGCCCAAATGTTTATCCTCTCTGAAAATTGCCCGTTTTGGTAATCCGTCAAGCGCCGCGTATTGTGGCGTGTTCCTGAGCGGCGTTGCCGCGTGCAAGCCCCACTGAGTCCACCCCTTACTTTCACGTCATGGTCTCGCCGCACCTCCTGAAGCATCTTCTACGACTGTGTTACTACATAATATCCTTCAGATAATACCCAACACCCCTATCAATACCCATCACACTGCGTACGGCCTACCGTCACTCGGCACTGGACTGCAATGCGGCAAGCTGACCCTCTTACCGCCGCAACGGCTTCCAACGGCTCACAAGTCAGCTTTGCCGCTTCTCATTTTTCTTTGCATCCTGATCGTACAGCTCGTCCCTTGCCGTTCTTTCACCCTACTCGCGCCGAATTTCAGCGACATACCGATTCGGATACAGCCACCCAAGACCTTGCCTCTCGTTGGTCATCTCGTGCTTCGCGCAAGAATAGATATGCGCCCCGTACGATACATGTACGAAAGCAACGCGGCGCGGGTCAAGGCACTTCGCCGGAGAAAGGCCTTCCAAGGAGGTTGTCTCTTATACAGGTAGATCAACGATTGAGACATCCACACACCCGTTTCAAAGTCCATTTGACTTGGGACGTTTCCTTCTGGGTTGCAGTTGCATTCGTCCTCGGTTCTTCCGCATGGGTGAGTCATGTGAAGATGACCTCTACACTAGTACTTGCTGCTCAAACAGCCCATGTAGATTGCCAACGGTTTTATTCTATATCTTCCGTTATCGCCTACTCCTGTATCAGACCACACGTCTGCTGCTGCCGCAACGGCCTTCGTTGGAGGTACCTTATTCGAAATCGGAAGCTATCTCATGTATGTCGAAAGCCTCAATACCGGGCACGAGCAGCTTTTTGGCGAAGAACTCTTAGGCCTTTTACGTGGAGCTAAACCTGTAGATGGCACTGAGACGGCGAATCCTGAAGACAAAGAAAAGTTGACGCCGCAGATCGATGGAAGGACTAGAAAATTCAGATGGATGTAAGATATCCCACACTGACTACAAAGATATCTACTGATATGCGCGCAGTGGATTCGGTTCATTCCGCGAACTTGGATTTCTCGCATCATGGATCCAACTTTGGGCTGCGTCCGTGTTCTGGATCTCGACATTGTAAGCACTCAGTTCGTGCCTCGTTTCCTGATTTCTGACTGGACAACGTGTTTCAGGACCGGGCTTCCGGGTATCATACCCAATCTCACCACGGACCCTCCCATCGCCATTGCTGATGTCTTCTACTGGACACCTCAAGTCATCGGCGGTACAGGCTTCATAATTTCCAGCCTCCTCCTGATGATCGAGGTTCAGAGACGCTGGTGGCTGCCTAACCTTAAAAGCCTCGGCTGGTGAGTACTGAGTCTCGGTTGCTTATTTTACTCCAGTCCCTGTTATTAAACAGCGCGACAGGCATGTAGGCGTTTGGAACCTTGTTGGCGCTATTGGTTTCACGGCGTGTGGCGCGTGCGGATATGCTGCGATAGCGTCCACAAAGGCAAATTATCAGAGCGTAATGTCCACGTTCTGGGGCAGTTTTGCTTTCATGATTGGGAGTTGCGTTCAGTTGTGGGAAACACTGTGGCGTGAGGACCCAAGCGCAGACGATTCATCCTAGGAACGCTGTACACGAAAGTTCTCCTTAGGCAATACCGATTATCACTTTGTAGAATATGTGTACTACAGTACGCCTTGTACAATATTCGATTTTATACCCAGATTCAACGGATCAGAACTCCGGAGGCTGACCGGGAGACGCGTGGGGCACAATTTCCCTTTTGGGCTGAAATGACCCCAATATGGCTATGGAGAAACTTTGGATCATAACATGAGCAAACAACCTGAGTGGCCGATGCGAGCACGTCTGTACAAAGCTCGTAAACCAGGCCAAATAGAAGAGAAAAAAGCTCGCAGTGCTTTCAATAATTCGCTAAGCGATACTGGGCTAGACAGAACTATACTACGAGAAGGTTTCATAACACAAACAGGCACGCCATCCAACGACGGCGACGCCAAATTCTAGTTCTCTGAATAGGTCGGAGACCCGATCTTCGTGCACTGACCCAAAGAAATTTCATTGCTCTACGACACGAATCACGACCTTCCCAACATGCTTCTGGCTCGCGAGGTGTTTGTACGCGTCGATCGCCTTGTCAAAGCTGAAGACACTGTCGACGACAGGGTGAATCTTGTGCACGTCGAGCGCACGAATCAGATCTTCGAACCTAGCGACCAGTACTTATAAGCGAGACTATACAACGATATACAGTGGCTGAGAGGACGTACATGGTGCGCGGCCCGAGCATTGTTCCACGGACGTTGGCGTGACCGCTCAATATTTTTAAGGCGAGAGGCTTCTCATCCTTCGGCTGCTGCTAAGAGACAAATATGATCATCAATCCTTCACAACGGTGTACAGACAAAATACTCACGGCGCCTTCAAGGAAGCCTACAATATGAATCCAACCGTCCAAACGCAGTGAACTGAGAGACTTGGATATGGTACCGGCTCCGCCTACTTCAACGACGTGATGGACGCCTTCGCCATGTGTCTGTTGAGTGACTTAGTAGTTAGTGACAGCCGTACACCAGGGAAAAGGCGCCGCACGATCTTAAGCACCTCCTTTTCCCAGTCGGGGACCTCTTTGTAGTTGATGAGATGTTGAGCACCAAGTTTCTTGACTTTCTCGAGTTTGTCGTTAGACGAAGAAGTTGCAATGACAGTCGCTCCTGCGGCTACTGCAAACTGTAGAGCGAATCTGATGAAAATTTAGCTCTCAATCTAGAAGTGAAAGTGTCTGAGACTTCTCATACATAGAAACACCGCCTGTGCCGAGAATAAGCACATAGTCGCCGGACTTGACTTGTGCAGGGCCCTGTAATGCGTACCAGGCTGTGACTGCAGCACACCTGGGGCCACCAGACACGTCAGTCTCTATATCATCGACGCGGAAGTATACGGGTATTCACGGTAAGGTAGAGGCTTCCTCGTAGCTCAGATAGTCGGGGATCTTGACAAGGCACTGAGTACGCGTTAGCACTGCAATATTGGCACCATAATATAAATACAGATGCGACGTACATAGTCCGGGAAGACCTGGTACTCCGTCAGCACGCCATCGATCGGCCCGCCAAGTGCCTTTCCCAGAAATTCGGCACGAACGCCCACACCTACATAGTCCAGAGCGAGGTGTGCCGCAACACGGTCCCCGATTGCCCACTTGTTCACGTCTTCCCCAACAGCGACAACTTCACCAGCGCCATCAGAGCAGGGTACGAGGTTGTCGCGCAGCTTGCCGAAGTCCTTGTACTCGTTGGTTGAGATGACAATGTCACGATACTACCCATGAGAGTGATGTAAGTGCTTAGTATATGCAAAAGGAGATAAGTGAATGTACGGACATTGAGCGAGACTGCGTGGATTTTGACGAGCACTTCATTCGCTTTGGGCTTCGGGACATCAAAAGTACGCACAGCCAAGCAGTCGATTCCTTCTCTCTAAGCAAGAGTCTAGGAATCAGTCATAACAGAAGTGACAGTAGCATAGTCCACGTACCTTTGGAAGGTGATATTGGCGAGCCTTCTCGGGGATGTGCACCATTATAGAAAAGCTCTGGCGATATCCTTCTTGCTTCTTGGTAGTGCTGATCAGTTCAAGAGGACCTAAGGCAGTGTTGGAGTTGGATGATAGCAGCACCAAGGTGAGGCGTCTTATATAGGTTTTCGCGCCCCTTGACTGCGAGTTGCCGGGAGTCCGGGTACACGGGGATGCAATAAAACTGACAGCTAAGCCGCGACCGACATCGATGATGTTCTTGAGAAGGTGGTATGGTAGCTGTATATGTTGTCATAATCCGAAATATGCATTACCGTGTGTACGGGGCTCAGGCTGGACCAACCATGTCGTAGCCCTCTGCTGCGAAAGTGCAGGCAATGTCCGGCCCGGCGCCGTGCGTCGGGAAATGAGCGTAGGCGCTTAAGGCGCTCAAGACGGTGGCGAATCGGTAGGCTCGTGGAACCAGCCGTTCTTTTCAAACTCCGCTGACGCTCTGAAAAGACACCACAGACATACGAGAATTTCCGTGAGAAGGGCTAGCCCACAGAAATCCGAGAGGCGTGTTCAATGTTCGCGGGCTTTCGCATCGCTTTCCCCTGGACGGAAAGTTTTCATTTTGGTCCGCTTTACCTCGAATTACCTCTGTGGGAACCTGTTTGTCAAAATTTGACCTTTACTTGACTATAAAAGGGGCGGGAAGTGATTCATTTCGGTCGCATTTTGATCTAATTTCCCCATATGGGAAATTTGGCGGAGAGGCAACCTTTCCGATCGCCCAAACTCAATTCATTTGCGACTTTCCATTGGCTGAAATGACTGCCTTTCCAATGACTTTCCTGAACCATGTAAATACTGAGGAAATTCGTGAGAAAGGTTGACCATTTACAGACATTCCAACTGATTTCAGTTGCGGGGAAAGGCTAACTTTCTATCGACGCGTCCGGCGCTCAGAAATTGGTACTAAAGGGATAAGAAAGGTATGCTATCCTTATCAAATTCTTGCCACAGATATATGCGAGACAGGAAGCACGACTCTCGAATTTCCGTGGGCTAGTCCTTCCCACGGAAATTGTGGTATGTCTGTGGTGAGAACGGCTGGGCAAATTGGACGCGATTCCGTATACCCCCCTAAGCGCTGGAGCCCTTAGCAAAGCCGCGCAGCGCTGAGCAAGGCAATATCGACGATGACGGCGGCACATGTAAAATTGGCGAATGGGCATTTATAAGAATTTGGTACAGAAT